TTTAGAAGTCTATCTATGGAATGGTGTAGGGTTGCAAGGGCATAAGATATCGAGGTAGAGTGAAAGAGAACTTGTTATCCAAGGTGCCTAGTTCGCGATTGAGTAGCTTGATCACCCAAGACACCTAGCGATGTGGCAAAGGGAACCTAAGGTAGCCTAGTGGACTGCCCTTTTGGCCTAGGTGCTAGACCAAAGGGAGAGCTAAGTTACAGCTCGCGAACCTACTTGGTGAATCGCCCATTGACCCCCTAGATCACCTAAGTGAACTGCCCAATTATTGAGCTTGCTGGAAATTTTGGCGAGCCAAGGGTCCACTTGGCGAGTCACCTAGTGCCCTTGGAGAGTCATGTAGGTGCAAAGGGCTAGCTAAGTCGTGGTGGTTAGTAGCTAAGTCGTGGTGGTTAGTAAATTTTAAGTTAAAACGTTTAGGGTCCTTAGTTATTTACCAAAGTTGACTCTACATTATTCTATTCCTTCTCTAGCAACTATATAAGCTTATTAGACCTAAGTTTACCTCAATTAAGTCATTCTCCCTAGAATAAAAAGAAAACCCACTTCGTCCCCTCCAAATAATATTCCTCTCTCTAGAAAACCCCACATTGAAGAAGAAGGTAAAGCTTGAAGCTTGGGTCAAGAATGAAGTCCATTGTTGAGAGCTTGTGCTAGGGCTTTGATTAAAGGTATGTTTAGCTTTCATCTATGGGTTCTTCCACCCATAGAGTCCCCTTAGAATTTCCCCTAATTTGTGAAGAAGAACCCGAATCTAAGCTACGGTTTCTTCCAAACTGTGGGTATAGTTGGCTATCATTCCAAATGGTTGGATAATACTTATTTGTGGTTGATTTAGCATGATATTATGATGAAATTATTTGTTCTCAATGGTTAACCCTAGTTTACTTGATGAGTATCATGTTTTGTGGGTTGATGCCATTAGAGGGGAATTTGAAGGTTCATGAGCAATCTTTCTAAACTAATGTCATGAGTAGTAATTGATCAAAGTTAGGATCAAATGATTATGCATTGAACTAGAATCTATTGTATATGATAAATCTTGGCATGTAATGTTGAAATTGAACCTTTAGGATGAATTAGGATTAAATCACCTAGTAATGAAGAGTGTTAATGAATGACTTGAAATCTAGGTTCATAAGATGCTTACATGTTGTAAAGTTGTTAAGAGTGAAGACTCATAGTTATGAATGTTGAATGCTAATATGCTTGACAGTATATGTTAAGGCTTTAAGAGTAAATTCTAAGTGAAAATAGAGTCTAATGGGTACAATTATGGTTAAAGGCCTATACTCACCTAACCTACCTTATGAATGCTTAAAGTATGAAGTGATAGAATCACTTGAACATGGATGGATTGTCAAGGACATCATTCCATGAGACATGAGTGTTAAGCTAGGTTTGACAAGTAAGCCTTGGGGTGTATTCTTGGCCCCAAGTGAATATTGTAAATGAGATGGTGTGTCACACTAGATAGGCTCTGGACTCTCATAAAAAATGAGAGCCACACCTAGTTGATGTGAGGATTGTCCAAGTTAAAGGGGGAACTGTTACGTAGTAGAGTGTGGGTTTCCCAAAGTTAGGTCTCATGAGATGGGGGCCTTCACATAGTTGAGTTAATGTCCCTAGTTGCAATGTCCATATCGAATGAACTAAGACATGCTTGAAGAAGCATCTCATAGTGTTCTAAAGCATAATATGAACTAAGACATACTTAGTGAAGTACCTCATAGTGTTCAAAAGTATGAATGGACTTTGACATGCTTAAAGTAGTTTCTCATTATGTCCATGTAAATGATGAACATAGATTTGGTAAGAGTATTATCTCATAGAGTTCAATCTATTAATGAACTAACATGTACTTAACAGAGTACCTTATAGTGTTCGAAAGTTAAAGAGAGGAACTAGGTTCCAATCCAAGAAGCTTTAGTAAGAGGACCTAAAAGTAATACTTAGCATGATTAGTATGATGGGATGCTATGATCGTATTGCACAAGTATGACTTAGGGTCACTAAGACAAGTCTTGAGATAGGATTGTTCTAGAGTTGCCTTTCCTAGTTATGATTTACTAAGGGTAAGAGATTCCCTTAGTTATGAGAGTTAACTAATAATGAGGCCAAAGTAGGGTGGATATGACTAGATGACTTCAAGGTTATGCTTAGTGTGAAGGGTAGTATGGGATGCCTTTCATGCATTATACACGTGTGTCTTGAGGTTACTTAGAAGTATGGTACCCTTATGGCATAGAAAAGTTTAAGAGTTGACCATATGTTTAGGCTATGATTAAGATGACCAAAAAGGGATACTTGGCTTGGGTAATATGATGGGATGCTATTCTTGCGTTGCACTTGTATGCTTTTAAGAATACTTAAGAATGGTGCTATTATGGTAAAGAGGACTAAGAGTCTATTATGCTTATATGAGTATGACTATGTCTTATAATGACTTGTGTGTATATGAAGCTTTTGTTGATGATTATGTTATGACTATGTTCGTATCTCTTATGCTTATGTCTTATGTTGACTAACGATTTTGAGATGCTTTTATGATGTTGAGCTAACTTTCATACTTGGTGCTTTTTGTACTAATGCATATTGCCTACATTCTAATCAAATGTAGGGTGTTGGAGATTGAGTTTATTTGGAGGCTAGGTTTCTAAGGCGTTTGAAGACTTGAAGAATTGGTGAGTCCTCATATCTTCGAGGACAAACCCACTATGTTCCTTTTATGTCATTTCATATGTTTTAGACTTATTGTGGGCTGCGTCCCAAGACTTTTATTCATGTTATTCATAGATGGTTGGAGACAAAGGTTTTAGTAAAGACTTCCGCTTTTATGAAATGTTTTCACTTGTATGGCTTTAAAGAAGGTTTTAAACTTCCCCTACTTTTGTATGATCTTATGTTATGATGATGCTAAGGGATTGTATTAGACCCCCTTCGGGGTCGAGTACGACTTGTTACGTCTGGGGTTACCCCTGGGTCGTGATAGTACCTTTGGGTGATCCAACACTGCATCGCGGAACCATTGGGAGATCCGCCGACTGTTCCTTTCTCTCGCCAACTTAGTTATTTCCTTCACGGCTTGGTACACTGGAACTTTAGGCAGTCAAGTAGCCATTCGGTGACTCGCCAAGTGGACTTGGCGATGACCAGGCTTGCTTTTATTCATTCTTTTAGCTTGCTTCATTCCTTTTTGTAAATTAGTGTCCTTACTTTGTTCCTCAATCCATATACCAAGAAATCAAGGGTTTTACATCAGTTATTGGCACAAAATAAGCATTTGAGAACACTAAATATATATAAATAAAGCCCAAAATGAGTCCAAATCTCAAACTCATCTGTGATCCAGTTTTCCTCTTACTGTGATCGCAGGGTCCGCGTTTATAGGGGACCCTCTGCATTTGCGAAGAAGAGATTGGTCGAGTCTTATTTAAAGAGATGTTGTGAGATAGCTTGTTCTTTAAATATTAGAATTGCATTTTATCTCTCGATATAGCTTGCGATTGGGTGATTCAAAGTCGCACACATTCAGAATTGTTGAGTCTTCGTTGTTGAGGGTTCGAATAGAGTTGGCGAACATCCATTTTAGGTTAATTTATGCTTTAAATTGTTTCCCTAAATGTTCTTTTTATTTTAAATGTGGTATTGTGTTCATATTATTGTTGTTCACTAATTGGAGCCTTAAATTGTGTTCAGTTGTGGTAACGAGCAGTCTTATGCAAATGCTTACAGCAAGAGGGTTGTTCACTGGGTTACCTTCGGAAGATCCATACACTCATATGGCTAAATTGACAAGTGTGTATGAGTAGTGTGGGACGACTGAACTTGGATATGAACACTATAGGTTTGAGAGTACTCAGACTTTCGTTGACTGGTGATGCTGCTATGTGGTCAGAGCTGCCATACAGTTTAATATACACATTGAACCAACTGCACAAGGTGTTCTTGGTGAAGTAATTTCAGATGTCTTAGAAGTTGAATTACAAAGATAAACTGAATAATTTCATGACACTACCTGGAGAGTCAGTAAGCAGTTCATGGGATAGGTTCACTAGATTCACGAGGAGTGTTATGAATCACTACATAGATGATGAGCCACTGAATGAGTACTTCTATAAAGGACAGGATGACAATGGAAAGGTTGTGTTAGATACTATTGTTGGAGGATCTTATAGTGAGTGCATTTTTGTGAATATTGCCGAAAAACTTGAGAGGATCTCCTAGAATAATAAAGCATGGAGCACTAGGAAGGCAAATACTGGTAGAAACACGTTCGATGTCCAAACTTTACCAAGTCAATCCAATGATGATATTCCTGAAGAGATGGCTCAAATGAGGACTGAAATTGGCTTGGTATTAAAGCATGTGGAAGGAAGTGTAGAGAAAGTTAATGTAGAAAATTATCTAACTAGCACTCCACCACCGCTAGTTGAGGAGTACTACTATAAGGAGGATGTGAATTTGGTGAATGATCAGACGGGGGAATGGAGGGTATCCAAACCAACGCCCAAGGTTCCAATTCGGATAATTGGTGCTGAGGTCAAGGAAACCAAGGTCGAAACTACAGCAACTACAACCGTGAGGGAAACTATGTCCGCAATAGGAACTTAAATCATGATAACAATTACAACTGAAACAACTATGGCAACATGAATGAGAAGGTTGGACCCTATGTTCCACCTGATAATAGAGAGGTCGATACTAGTATTACTCGTATTGATGATATGATGCAGAAGATGATGAAGAGGTTTGATCAGACAGATGAAAATGTGAAAGAGATGCGTACAGATTTATCTGGGATTGGTCAGAAAGTTGATACCCATGCAGTGTCGATCAAGTAACTTGAGCAGTAGTTTAGTCAGTATTCCGCTACTGTGAACCCATGCCAGCCAGGCACACTTCCTGGGAATACCATGCAAAATCCAAAAAATGATGAGCATTATATGACAATCACTACATGCCGAGGAAAATAGACTATAGATCCCCCCATGACGTATGAGGCTGAAAGAGTGAAAGAAAAAGGTGCAGATGAGAGTGAGGTTATTGAAGATCCGAAAGATGATACAGAAAATAAAGCTGAGGTGACCGAAAAAGATGTTCCCATGCCTATACCTCCATCTCCCTTCCAAAAAAGGTTGGTGAAAAAACTGAAGAGGGAAAATATTGCAGGTTCATTGCCATGTTGAAGAAACTTTCCATTAATGTCCCTTTGATAGAAGCTTTTGAACAGATGCCTGGGCATGCAAAATTCATGAAAGACTTGGTGATCAAAAAGAGGGAAGTCAGTTTTGAGAATGAAGAAAGGTTGCAACATTGTAGTGCCACTCCCACAAGGTCACTTGTGGCGAAGAAAGAGGATCCTGGAGCCTTCACTATTCCTTGTACCATTGGGATATTACACTTTGCGAAAGCTTTATGTGACTTGGGTGCCAACATTAATTTGAATTTATAAGAAGTTGGGTTTAGGAGTTCCAAAGCCGACTGTGATGTGTTTACTTATAGTTGATAGAACTGTGAAGAGGCCCATTGGAGTACTCAAACATGTCCTTATGAAAGTGGAGTCATTCATTTTTCTGGCGCACTTTGTGATACTAGATTGTGAGGTTGATTTTGAGGTTCCCATGATCTTAGGGAAACCATTTTTTGGTACTGGGCGTGCGTTGGTCAAAATGGAGAGAGGGCAGATGAAGTTTCGATTAAACAATGAGGAGGTAAATTTTAACATTTGTAGGTATATGAAGTATGAAAGTGATCTTAAGTCGGTATCAGTGGTAAATCATATGGTGGAGCAAGAATCTGAAGTGTCCATTGAAGTACTAGCTGTGATAATGAATTTTGACAATGATGGTATTGATGACTATGATGAGCTAGTTGTTTCACTTGATAGGTTCGAGTTTCATTTCAAGCCAAAACGAATGGAATTAGACATCAAGAATAGAGACACCCCACCTGAAAAATCGTCTGTTGATGAGCCTTCAAAACTGGAATTTCAGGTTCTTTCATCCCACTTGCAGTACATATTCTTGGGACAAAATAGCACTTTACATGTAATCATTGTTGCTGACTTGAGTGAAGGGCTAGAGGCCTTGGTATCGGTACTGAAGTAGTTTAAGAGGGCTATTGGATGGACTATTGCGTACATTATTGGGATTCCACCGGGCATTTATTCTCAAAGAATTCAACTAATGCCAAACAGCAAGCAAAGTATTGAGCATCAAAGGAGACTGAATCCCCCCATGCAAGATTTTGTGAAAAAGGATATCATTAAGTGGTTAGATGTTGGAGTCATATATCCTATTGTTTATCGTAGTTGGGTCTGCCCAGTCCAATGTGTGCCAAAGAAAGGAAGAATCACTATGGTTTCCAATGCTCAAAATGAGCTTGTTCCAATGAGGCCGGTGACTGATTGGAGAGTGTGTATGGACTATCGTAAGTTAAATGCACGGACTGAGAAAGACCATTTTTTGTAGTCGTTTATGGATTAGATACTAGATCGCCTCGCTGGGAAGGGTTGGTATTGTTTTATAGATGGTTATTAGGGGGCTACAATCAAATCTCCATAGATCTAGAAGACCAAGAGCAGACCACCTTCACTTGTCCTTATGGGACTTTCGCCTTCAAAAGGATGTCATTTGGGTTATGTAATGCTCCAGCGACCTTTCAGCATTGTATGACGTCAATTTTTTCAGATATGGTGAAGGACACAATAGAAGTATTTACGGATGATTTCTCTGTAGTAGGTGACTCATTTGATGACTATTTGACATATTTGACTGAGGTACTAAAACGGTGCGAAGAGTGCAATCTTGTGCTCAATTGGAAAATGTGCCACTTTATTGTGAAAGAGGGTATAGTTTTGGGTCATCCGATTTTGTAGAAAGGTATTGAGATTGATAGATCTAAACTTGAGGTAATAGAAACACTTCCACCACCCATCTATGTAAAAGGTGTTAGAAGTTTTCTTGGGCATGCAGGTTTCTACGAGAGGTTCATAAAAGATTTCTCTAAAATTGCACACTCATTGTGCAACCTACTTGAGAAGGAGTGTAAGTTTGATTTTGATGATGCTTGTCTAAGAGCTTTCAGAGAGTTTAAAGAGAATTTAAATTCGGCTCCTATCATTATTTCAGCGATTTGGGGGAAACTATTTGAAGTGTGTGATGCAAGCGGGGTAGCGCTTGGCATAGTATTGGGTCAGAGGCGAGAGAAAAATTTTCATCCAGTTTACTATGCAAGGAAAGCTCTGAATGTGGTTCAAAAGAACTATACTGTGACTGAACAAGAACTGCTTGCTGTGGTTTTCGAATTCGAGAAGTTTAGATACTATTTTCTTGGCACATAAGTTATTCTGCATACTGATCATTCTGCATTAAGGATTCTGGTGGCTAAAAAAGATGCCAAACCGAGATTGATTAGATGGGTTTTTTTGTTGCAAGAGTTCGATTTTTAGGTAAAGGATAGAAAGGAAAAAGAAAATCAAGTAGTTGATCACTTCTCCAGACTAGAGGAGGAGCCTATGATCAATCTAGAAGATGGAAATGAGATTAATGATGTGTTCCCTGATGAGCAGGTATTGACTTCTTTTTATGACCTTATTCTATGGTTTCCAGACTTCGCTAATTATTTGGCAAGTGATTTGGTACCTTTGGATCTATCATTTCACCAAAGAAAGAAATTCATGTTTGATGTGAAGAAGTTCTTTTGGGAAGAGCCATGCTTATTTTGTGATTGTGCTGATGGGATTATTCATCAATGTGTGCCATAGGTTGAGATGATGAGTATACTATAGGCGTGTCATTCATCGCCTGTTGGTGGGCACCATAGTGGTATCTGAACTGCCCATAATATTTTGCAATGTAAGGGGTATTACTGGCCTCCACCAAGATGCTCATGATTTCGCCAAGTCTTGTGATCGTTGCCAGCGTGAATGAGTAATTTTGAGAAAGCAAGAACTCCCAATGAACCCAATACTGGTTGATACGATTCTCACAAGAGAAATGACAATAATATGCAGAAATCGAAAGACAATAAAGTAAAGATAGATAGATACACACATAAGAGGAAACAAAAGGCAACCAAAGGGTATATCAAACCCAATGACCTCGATTCGTTGATCCAACTATAGCACCTAACTCTTACGATGACCTCAAGGGAATCGATATCCCAAGAAACCAACGTTTCTAACAAAACGCAACAAAAGCTTAACCAAGCTCTCAACACTCAAACATGAATTTTCAAATTTCAACATTCAAACTAATCTTAAGTCTAAAATGAACCCAAGCTAGCTATTTATAGGTTTAAGATAAAAGGGCCCAAAAGTGACCCAAAATGACAAAAGGGCGAACTGGGTCGGGTTCGCCTAGTGGGTTCGGCGATCCGCCCTTCAACTCGACGAGACTTCCTACTGGGCTTAGCTCTTAGCCACGTTCTGTAAAATTGGGCGACCTGGGTCATCGCCCAAGTCATTGGGCGATCCGCCGATTGTCTCTTACTCGCCAAAATGTTCAACTGCAATCTTCAAGGCATGGAAACCCTTGTTTATTAACAGTATCAACTCGAGCACCTCCATCTTCATGAATAATCCTTGCATCCTTTAAAGGTCTTGAGCTTGGCTTCTAGTAAATGGCCTTGATGAATTATGTATTGCATCATTCTCTCATTCTTGAAAAGAATTTGTCCTCAAATTCGACGATCATCAGCTTCAGCAGTTGGGAAAGTGGACAGGTCGCACACATTAAAAGTGTTGTGCACTTGATATTCCGTAGGAAGGGCAACCTTGTCGGCATTGTTGTTGAGCTCCTCAATCACTGGAAATGGTCCATCACCTCTCGGCATGAGCTTCGTCTTGCAATGGGTGGGGAATCGTTCCTTGCAAAAGTGTACCCACACCCAATCAGTTGGTTCAAAAATGATCCTCTTGCGACCCTTGTTAGCCCTTTTGGCTACATCTTGGTTTTTCTTCTCTAATTACAGCCGCACTTTCTCATGAAGCTTCTTCATGGTTTCAACTTACTCCCATCTAAGCTTAACACAACATCTTGAGAAAGAGGAGTGAGATCTAAAGGGGTTAAGGGGTTAAAACCATAAATCACTTCAAATGGAGTCATGCCAATAGTACTATGAATAACACGATTATATGCAAACTCAACTAAAGGAAATTTTTCCTCCCACGAGGCCAACTTTCCATACACGACGGTACGAAGCATAGAACTCAAGGTCCTATTCACAACTTCAGTTTGGCCATTAGTTTGGGGATGGCAAGAAGTTGAGAACAACAACTTAGTACCAAGTTTACCTTACAGTTCCTTCCAAAAGTGACTAAGGAATTATGGATCCCTATCACTTACCATGCAATTTAACAAGAAAGATACCAAATGATGTATTTCTCACAAGAAGAATCATAATAAATAGCAGAAAACAAGAAAATTAAAAGAAGAAGAAGAGACACAAGGTAAGAAATAATTGTCAATTAACGGATGTATTAAATCCAATAACCTCCAATTTAGATCCTAACAAGTACCTAATTCAGATAAATAGATAGACACAACAAGAGGAAACAAAGAGCAACATATGGGTATGTTTAACCCAAAGATCTCACTTTGTTAATGCAACAAGAAGCACCTAACTCTTACGAAGACCTCAAGCGAATCGATATCCCAGGCAACCCCAATTTCTAAACAAGGTTCAACAAAAGCTTTACCAAGCTTTCACACACTCACGTAAGGAGTTTATGTTTACAACCACAATATTCAAAATCAGTCTAACCTAAAATGAACCCCTAAAGGCCTATTAATAGTTTTAGGCATTATTACATAGATGGGCCCAAAAGTGACCTCAAATAGGCCAATGGGCGGGCCATGTCAGGCTCACCTAATGGCTCAGCGATGCGCCCAATAGGTTCGGCGAGGAACTCTGCTCCTTGCCTTGACTGGGAAGCTACTGGAACTTTGGGTGGTCTGGGAACCATCGCCCAATCCACTTGGCAATGCGGCAATGGTCTTCAGCTCGCCTCGTGAGCAGTTTTCCACTTTGTAGCTCCTTGGGCAATTGGCAATCTTGGGAACCCTCGCCAAAGGGTTTTGGCGAGTCGCCGAAGTGTTCTCCATCTCGCCGAATGGAGCACATTCCTCACTTGCTCCTCTTCGCTTCGTTAGGCCTCACACACTCCAAGCATGGTGTTGCCCAACTTGGAGCTCCTTCAAGGCATTGAACTCCCTCCTTCGCATCCATACATGCCAAACATCCTCCATCATTGTGAACACTCCATCAAAGCATTGAAGTTCATGAATGGATTGCCTTGACGTAATCCTTTTTACATCATTCTACCCTTCTTGAAAAGGATTCGTCCTCGAATTCATACCTTGCAAAACCATAGGGGAAGCATACAGGAACAAGATTTTCATGGCAAGAGGGTTAGCGTTAGCAATAACAATTTCATCACCATGCCAAGAGTGCACAAATTTAACATATAACCAAGCATCACAAATATCAACCAAGGGTTTGTAACCCATCAAAGCAATAGATACTTGGCTAAGTAAGAAACACTGACAAAGGGGTAGAGCGTAGGAACCTATACACTTAAACAACCTCATTTGTAAGCCCTCATTGGTTCCACATTCAAATAAGCACAAGACCTCTCTTATGTCAAGTAGCACATAAACATTCTCAAAACTAAGTGCAAGGGCATAAACAAAGTTAACCCAAATTAAGATTCCATCCAATGCACTAGCTAACTTCAAGAATGTAGTTATTCCCAATTCATGAGTGGGGTCAAATACAAAAGTATTGTCACGCCTCAGATCTGATTAAGACGGACAGGCACCCGATGTCTAAATGGCCCAGGAGAACCAACTTACAACCTGCATTTACCATACATTTAACTATGATAGCTATGAAGCTATGACAAGCTTATATACCCTGTAGCGATAAAAGACCGACATAGACAGGCCCAAAACTTATGTACAACACTTGGCCGTTGAGGCCACAATTGTTAAGAGACAAGACACAACCAAACTTTATACATTAGTCTACAAAGCCTCTACAAGATAGACAACCTTAGTTTAGGTCGGGACAAGGCCCCGCCTTACCCTTAACTACTATACGGTAA